TGAGAGAGTCTCCTTGGGGAAAGGGGCATATTTAGAAATATGTAATGTTAGAGGAACCTTGGAAATCATCAGTTTAGCATTTTCCAAAGTTTGCCAAAAACTATTTAGATCCACATGATGCTTTACCAAAATCAAAAGCATCCAGTGATCAAATCAGTTTGGGAAACAGTGCATATTCCCATCCTGAAGAACCATGATGCACATCAGCATATCGGAGGCACTAGGAAGTCCTGCGGTAAGAAATCTGCTTAACTTTGGTCCACTGGTTTCCAGATGTATCTGACCCTAGAACCTTTCCTTTTTTACACAATGCCTGTTAACCTTCTGAGGAATTGGAGTTCGACAGGACATGTGCTGTGAGGACTGGATCTAATACCAACTCCTCTTTTTCCATATGTGGAAGCTGAGGGCCAAGGCAATGAAATTGTTTGCCTATGATCACAGAAATCCCACGCAGTAGAGCTGGGAATAAAACTATAGTTTTTTCTTCTTCCTCACATGACTTTATCGAAATTAATTCTCCTCCCAGACATCTCTAGGCATCATCAACAAGATAACAGCTACTAAGAGATGGGCTACTTAAAGAAAATCATGCTTTAAACAATATCCCACCAACACAGAAGGATTCTTTTACCCATGGGGTCCTACAACCAACTTATCACAAAGGAAAAATTGGGAGAACAGACAAAGTCAGTTACTCATAGGGGTAGCCTATGTTTACCCCTAAATGATTAGTGTTTTGAGACCAACTGAGATATTCGTAGACTCATCTGTCTGTCAGCCAAATCACAGACCATCACAAAATGACACCAAGAATACAGTTATCTATTATTGCAAAACAGATTATCCTGAAACCTAAAACAATAAACCTTTGTTGTGTCTTGGTTTCTGTGGGAATCTGGGAGTGGCTTAGCTGTGTGGTGCTGGTGCATTCTTTTGTGAGGTAACAGACAAAATGTCAGCTAGGGATGCAGTCATCAGAAGACTTGACTGGGGCTGGAGAATCTCCTCTCAAGGCAGCTCCCGCACAAACCTGGGAAGTTAATTCTGGCTGATAACACGGGACTTCTGTTCCTTGCCATGTGGACTGCTTGCTATAGGTTGCTTGAGTGGCCTCATCACAGATATGGTAGCTGGCCTTCCCCAGTAACCCGAGAGAGAGAGAGAGAGAGAGAGAGAGAGAGAGAGAGAGAGCATGCGACAGCACACGAGAAGGAAGCCTTGGTGCTTTTAAGATCCAGTCTTAGAAGACACATACCATCAATTCTGCCATAGTCTATCTTATTTAGAAGTGAGCCATCATATCCCACTCACACTCAAGAGGAGAAGAGTTACTTTCTCACTTTTGAAGGGAGAAGTGTCAAAGAATTTGTGGACATATTTTGAAACCACAACACCAAGAAAGAGTTGCAAGGGGGAAGGATGCTAATTAAATGACAAACAACAACAAACAAACAATAAAGACTGAGTGCAGTGGCTCATGCCTGTATCCCACACTTTGAGAGACCTAGGTGGGAAGATTGCTTGAGGCCAGGAGTTTGAGACCAGCCTGGGCAACATAGGGAGACCCTCATCTTTAAAAAAAAAAGAAAAAAAGCCAGGCATGGTGGCTCATGCCTGAAGCCCCAGCTACTTGGGAGGCTGAGGTGGGAGGATAGCTTGAGCCCAAGAGTTTGAGGCTGCAGTGAGCCATGACTGTACTACTGCACTCCAGCCTGTGTGACAGAGCAAGACCCTGTCTAAACAACAACAACAACAACACCACCACCAACAACAACAATGACAAAACCCAAGAAACCTTTCGAGGGTAAAAATCTAGCTAGGATAAGAACAAATACTAAATAAAAACTCTGAAAGAGACCAGGAATTTAAATTTACATAGGACTTGAAGCCCAACCTGAAATATTGGTGTAAACATCCTTGAACTTCTTTGTAAAACAAACTTCTGAATAAAAGAACTTCTGAGAGAAAAGTTCTATTGCTGGCACTGTGACTAGGGGAATAGATGAAGGATTTGAATCAAGGATAAGCAATTTGGAGAGCATATCCAATGTTTTGACTTGTATCCTTCCAAGTTAACTTTTCCTTTCTCAAGCCTTTCAATTTTCTAAGTGTTGCAATATCCCAACATGACCAAAAGGATCAAATTCCAGCTCTAGTCTTCAGATTTTTTTTTTCTTCTGAAGGTTTATATTCATTTCCTTATGCTGTCTGAAAGCGAGATATCATGATCTAATTGCCTAAGAATTTATTTCCAAATAGTTGTTGACGGAGCCGGGAAGTCTCAGAAAGATCAGACAGATCATACTCCTTCCTTTACTCAAGAGGCTTTTTTTTTAAATTAAAAAAAACCAAAAAAACAAAAAACCAACAACAATTATGATCCCCAAAGAGCTTTCCTTTATGGCACCTGGGGTATTCAGTCAATCAAGAAGCTTTTCTTGGACATATGATAGACATGAGAGGTTCTCTAGGACTCATATATTGGAAGCTAAACAGAAAACAGATGCAGTTAAATGCAATAACCACAAAAGTGGGATTGAGAAAGAGAGAGAGAGAGGAATGGGGCTGAGGCTACGTCTAGGCAGTTATGTGCAATGAGGTGGATTTATTATGGAAAATGTTCCAGAAAAGATGAACTTAAAGCTATTCTAAATATTTGGGGGCAACTTGTGCAAAAGTTTAGAGAGAAGAGAATGAAGTCTGAATTTTTAGGCCATCAAAGAGATGAGTAAAGGGCGGGCTGGAATATAGCAGAAGATGAGACTGGAAAGGGAGGGTGGAGACAGTGATTAAGATGGATTTGAATAAACTGATCTGCAAAGAGTTTGGTATGGTTGGAGCAATTATAGGTTGGTGTAAAAGTAATTGTGGTTTTTGCAATTAAAAGTAACTGCAAAACCGCAATTACTTTTGCACCAACCTAATACTTGCGAGAGGAAAAAACTTTTTCAGTATGCTGTCTCTTGAATCAAACCAAAAAAAAGAAAAAAAAAAGGCCAAACCAAAAAAATCTTTGCTCATTAAGAGACAAACAGCAACAAACTAGAAAGCTAGACCCTCCCTTGTAGGAAGATGTGGATTTAGGATCTTACACCAACTTCTTTTTTTTTGTTTTTTTGAGATGGAGTTTCACTCTTGTTGCCCAGGCTGGAGTGCAATGGCATGATCTTGGCTCACCACAACCTCCAACTTGTCTTTCTAAGAAATTCAAGCGATTCTCCTGCCTCAGCCTCCTGAGTAGTTGGGATTATAGGCATCCACCACCAAACGCAGCTAATTTTTGTATTTTTAGTAGAGAGAGGGTTTCACTGTGTTGGTCAGGCTGGTCTTGAACTCCTGACCTCAGGCGATCCACCTGCCTCCTCCCTAAGGGCTGGGATTACAGTGAGCCACTGCGCCTGGACAATCTTTCACCACCTTCTTGGGCAGCATCCTATCACCATCAAGACTGAAGGTCAGCCAACTGCCCATGGTGGAAAGGCTTGAGAGACGTCAGCAGCTAACTGATTCATTCATTCATTAATTCAATGAGCACGCAGTGAATACCTTTAGGTTTGAGAGGCAAGTAGGATTAAATATACTATCCATGGGACTGGGACAAGGTGGCAGCCAAGTCTTCATTTATCAGTGTAAGTTTCATCTTTCTCTCTCTCCATGTCATGGAAATTATTAAAAGATTTTTCAAAACGTTTTGATGAACATTTATTGTGATCCTTCTAGGTATATGTCAGGGACTATGCTAGGTGCCAGGGATACTGAAATGACTGAAGCATCATATTGACAATGGTGACAATAAACTTACAGCCTAAATATTTCCTTTTCTGCTTCTAGCTTCCACTGTGCCAAAAGGGGGAACTATTTCTCCTGGAGCAGAGTGGACAAATGTGCAGCAGGTGAGCAGAATCATTTTGCTTTCCAGCTGTTGCACCAGCTGTGTCATGCTGACAGTGGCCTCCACCTGTCTAACTCCTGCTTCCACCAATTCAGAACCAAGATATTTTTATACTCATAACATGGTATAAACCAAGTGCTGATGGAAGTTCTTTGATGCTGAATTTGGAATCAAATACATTCTACTTTCCGGAAATCCATATACTAGGTGGCTACTTCGATAGCAACAGACACAAGATGTAAAATGAAGCAATGGTGAAGGAATTTCTCAGGGGAGGAATCAGTCTTCTCATTTTGGTTGAGGAAACTTGGATACAGGGAGGATGAGGGACTGACTCAAAGTCATCTGGCAACTTAGAGGCGAAGCCAGAGCTCCTCAAATCTCCTAGCTCTGACTCCATCCTCTTTTTATTGAGCCAGTCATGATGTAACCCCCCAAATGAGTGCAGCTTTTAATCTCCCACATCAAGGGGCCTGCTGGCTGCTGACTCATGCATGCATCTCACGGTGGTTTCTGGGTGGTTGATGCTCATCACCCTCTGACTTCATTTCTTTTTTCCTTTGCAAAATGGCTATTGCCCAGAGTCAGCATCTCTTTTCTAAAAAGTGAACATGCCAGAAGGGTTTTTGGAAACTGCCTTGCTGTCTGTCAGGAGCCAGATGATTCACAGGGATGAACCAATGCTCATAACAAGGGTACCTGGTTGGATTACCAATTAGCCACCTCCACCTCGGCAGGGTGGTTGGAAAGAAGAGAAAGGCAGTGTTTAGTTTGGGCAAATACCAGGAGGACTTATCATTCTCATCAAGGCATCAGTGCGGCACATCAGACCTCTTCCAAGCCATTCCATTGGAACTTCTCTCTCCAAATGCCCTAGCAAGAGTAAACTTGTTATGCAAACATTGGATCATTGTATCTGAGTGACAGAAGCACCTCTGTGTTGGTGAAAGGGGAGAAATTGGCTGACTCACGTCTGTTTTTAATGATGTCTCTGCTGCTGGGAAAATTTGGAAGCTGTAGGTAACATCTTCTCCTTTGGGAAAAAAAACCAAAAAAACCAAAACAAAAACAAAAACCAAGGCTGCCCTGGAATGTGTTAGCTTACCTTTACCGGATGGAAACACCTCAGTCTGGGTAGACCCTGGGAGGGATGCGCAGACTTTTTCTCCATCTGGACCCAGCAAGAAGTGTCCCAGTGTGGGGTTGCTGGAATCTTGAAAATAAGCACAAGCATAGGCGCTGTCAGCAGAATGCTGGTGAGGGAGACAGACTGAACCTAGGCCGTGTTACCCTAGTCCCCTGCAGGCACACACCCATAGATACCTGTGTGCTTGGGTGCCCACCAGAGTATAGGGTGAGCCCTACTCCTGGGACTCAGCAGAGTGGGGCTGTTATTCAGGCCCTGGCTTCCAAGGGTCAAGGTGGGGTGAACAGGGAGGGGCTGCCACTTGCCTACATCATGTCTTTGGGAGAGCCTGGCTATCTCAGGGGCTGGGCTCAGAGAGAGGGGCACTCTGTGTGAAGGAAAGGGAGCCCCTTCCTCCAGCTATATACAGTTCTGCCGCTGGACACAGGGTTTCCTGCTTCCTGCCTCTACTGCCCTGTTCAGTACTCAGCATACATGGCCATATCCTCTAGATGAAATACTGGGATGGCTTGGTGATGCCAGAGGCTCAGGTCAAGGAGGAGGATACTGTCTCCCTAGTTACTTAGAAAGATTGAAGGTGTTTTTATAACCTGACTATAAAAGTAAAAAACAAGTCATGGCCAGGCACAGTGACTCATGCCTGTAATCCCAGCACTTTGGGAGGCCGAGGTGGGCAAATCATCTGAGGTCAGGAGTTCGAGACCAGCCTGACCAACATAGAGAAATCCTGTCTCTACTGAAAATACAAAAAAAATTAGCCAGGCATGGTGGCATGCACCTGTAGTCCAGCTACTTCAAGGCTGAGGCAGGAGAATTGCTTGAACCCAGGAGGCAGAGGTTGTGGTGAGCCAATATCGCACCACTACAGTTCAGCCTGGGCAACAAGAGTGAAACTCTGTCTCAAAAAAAAAAAAAAAAAAAAACCAAGTAATTTTTCCCCAACTCTAATTCCAATTCTCAACCCAGAACATTCCTGGTACTAGATTGTGGGGGTTCCCCCATGCCAAACAATTCTCCAGCAGATGCCAACGGTTGTCCTATAATTTAATTCAGTTCTGATGCTCTCTACTTGGAGATGGTGTCAGATTCCACAGGGCAGGGCTCAGTCCACAGATTGCCCCCCAACTTCAGGTGCCAATTGCAAGTCCCAGATTGTGACCTGGACTTCTGACCAACCAGCTATAAATTGGGCCTCCCGCAATCATCCCTTTCCTTGGGTTCAACAATTTGGTAGGACAGCTCACAGAACTCAGGGAAACACTTAACTTATATTTTCTGGCTTATTTATTTATTTATTTTTAAAGAGACAGGGTTTCACCTTGTTGGCCAGGCTAGTCTTGAACTCCTGGCCTCAAGTGATCCACCTGCCTCAGCCTCCCAAAGTGCTGGGATTACAGGTGTGAGCCACCGCGACCGGCTTTTTCTGGCTTATTTTTAAAGGACATTAGAAAGGATATAGTGAACAGTCAGATGAAGAGATGGGCAAGGCGTGGGGAGGATGTGCAGGGATTCCGTGCCCTCCCTGGGCCTGCTGCCCTCCCAGCACCTAGACGTGCTCAGCAGAAGCTTTTCAACTCAGGTTATAAAAGCTAATAAAGAGCTTGATCTTTCAACAGCTAATAAAGAGCTTGATCTCCAGTGCCCCCTCCCCTTTCCTGGAGGTTGTGGCTAGCAGCTCCAGTCTTCAAATCCTCTTATCACTTGGTCCTTCTGGTCACTGGCCCCATCAGAAGGCTACCTACAGGTGTTACCCTATGTCACCTCATTAGCATAAACTCAAGTGTTTTCAAAGGGACTTGTGAATAACAAAAGATACTACCATCATTCAGAAAATTCCAGTTTTAGCTTAGGAATAGAAACCAGGGGCAGACCACATTTATTCATATTATACTACATTTACCTTCCCCTTTTCCAAGACTAAGAGGCCAGGAGTCCAGCTACCTGGACTAGCAGAACACCGGCTAGAGTGGATGCTAAGGAGTGCACACATACACATGCACACTTACAAACATACACACTGACATATTCACACGGGCACACACATATGTACACACTCACAGGACAAGTTTGCACACACAGCTGCACACATGAACAATGACATACATGAACATGACACATTCATAGGACTGAATATATAGACATGCATGTGCATATGCAGACATACATATATGGAGGTGCACAATGACACACTCACAGTTGTGCATGCATGCACACAAGCACACGTACTCATGGGCATATAAGCACACATCCCACACACATTCACTTACACACATGCACACACCCAACACACACACTTGAGGCTTCAGGCTGCTCTCTTGTCACAGTCCTGGTCCTGCCTGGCATTCTATTTTCACCAGATTCTCCCTTTATAAGGATGTCTAAAGTAGGTGTGAGTATCCATTTGCTGTGATTTGTCCCAGGCCAGGCAACTTCCTAGGAATGCCCCAGGTGGGGACATAACAGTACACCAAGTTTGGTTCATTTGTATCAAAAGGGCATTGCTGCCACATAAGTATAGAAGGGAGGGGATTGTGAAAGAGAGGTTCCAACCCTGGAATGATTTCTAGGTGAAAACAACGTCTCTAGGGATAGAGAGCGTTGGGAAGGAAGGGTTTTAATTGTGGCCATCTCAGCCTGAAACAGGAGCTGCAAACACAGAATGGAACTATTAATCTGTGAATTTAATTTATGCTTAAAGAATTCAACTATATATGCTTTGGGGAGAGAATGAGATGGGGGTGTGCTGGGCTGGGGGGGAGAGAGAGCAAGCGAGACTGATTTAAATACTGAGGCATTCTGTCTCTGAGTGATCACGAAATGAAAGATGTGAAATCTGTTGCCTCTGTGATGGCGCTCTGTTCCCATGTGCCTCTCAAAGTGTGAGTTTCTTGCAGCCCTGAGTGTGATTCTGCTGTTAACAGAGATACCTCTTTATACAGTCTGTCCCCCAAACACATGTCATCTTCATCTGGTGCTCAAACTGAGAAAGCAGCCCACGCCTTGAACGAAGGAGAAACAGCTGCCTGGACCACATGTTCCTGAAAATGGTCTCAGTCTCCAGCGTGGCACCCTCCCAGGGATTTTCAGAGGTAACTTGGGCTCTTAGCAATTTTTGCTCTATGAGCTACCTTTATTTTAGATGGAAGCCCAGGGCTGCTGTTGCACTGTCCTTGCATTATTGCTCTGTATAAGCGTCTTACTCACCTCCTTGACTATCCGCTCCTTAAGGATAAGCACTTTTAGTGGGGCTAAATCCTAGAGGGAATGGCCTTGCCCTGACTCACCCTACTACAGAAATCAGCATCCTTCCCTATCCATGAACAGGCTCTACCCTGGCTGGAGTTGACTTCTGTCTGAGGACTCTTTTGCTGGCAGTGTCATCGGGCTCTCTTGCCTCATGGGGCAAGGGCTATGGCTCAGTGTGGAGTATGCCTAGTAAATCCAGTAGCATGCCTCCCGCTGAAGCGCAGGGAGCTATGTCATCAAATGCTGCTGCCAGGAGTGAGGAAAGCACAAAACAGCATGGCAGTACACGTGGGTGCAGTACTTAAAACATGTACTGACCCTTTAGGAATATGCACGGAGAACATTAATCCCACCGACTCATCGGAAACAGTGTTGATTACCCCTTTCCAATGGAGTGCCTTTTAGAAAACTTACATCACAGCAGCCACACGGCCCTGGAAATGAGCAACATACAGGCCAATGGGGGGGCATCCATACACGCTGGGAATGATTACCTTGACCTGCTGGCAGTGCCTTCCTGGGTGCTCTCACATTCGGTAGACTTGGGGGGCTGCTGTAGCCTGATGTCCTAGGGCTGTCCAGTCCCTTCTGGCTTGCAGGACTTTTTTTTCCTTTAATCGGGGGTAGAAGATCCAGTGGTGAGGTCACATTTTGGGGCGGGGCATCATCATCTTTAAAAACAAAAGGGGAAAAAGCCTGTGTAAGAAAATGAAATCAGCAGGAAGGAGAAGGAAACTCTCTTCTAACTTGGTTGATGGACCTCTGTAAAGACTGCCACGAAGAGCTGGTCAGTGTATTGTGCCTAGAAGGGAGAAACCAGAGTGGTTTATTATTATTAATAAATCATCCTAACACCAAGATGCTTTATTCCACTCATTCTCAGGTTGTCTCACTTTTCCAGTCTTGCTTAGCAGCAGGGACCTGCTCTCTCCCATGGCCAAAATGACATGACTCTTGGCTAGAATCATGGCAGTTCATTTGGAAAATTGCCAAGAACTGGGGGGAACTGAGTGGTGATTGTTTTTATTCTCATTTTGTGGATGAAATCCTGAGATGTAAGGAGGACTGGAGAGGCTGCCAACTGCTTCCACCCCCAGTCTGAAGGCTATGACTAGGGAGATCTCAGCTTTAAAGCTGATGAGATTGTTGGATACAGATTTCTGATCACAAAGCAGTTTTGCCAGGCAGAGTCAATGATCACATTCCCTCCTCAGGGTTAAAGTACAAGGTGCTACCTTCCAGATGGAAGTCAGAGGGTATCAGGATTGATGGTAGCGTTCCATAAAGCACACTACCCTCTCCCTCTGTTTTCTCCTCTAACACCAACAGGGCCTGCTCTAGGAAGGCTGAAACCCAGAAACCTAAGTGACTGAGGCCTTGGCTTCACCTCTTTCCGAGAGAGTGGTCTTTATTTCACATTTAAAACAACAATTGCTATTAATATTTGGGTTTAAATGTTGGCTTCATGTGGTCTCAAATTATCACAGACTACTTATTCATTAAAAAGAGGCAAAGTGTCTTTACATGGGGAAATGGGGCAGACATCACCTTTAACCAAGTAATAAAATTTAACATCACCTACAATGAAACAAACTGACATTTTGCATCCCTATGATGGGCTGAGAAGGACACAACATCACCTCTCTGATTTTCCTGCCCAAAATGTCTGAGATGAATCTCATTATTAGGAAATAGAAAAATCCAAATGAAGATAATTCTGCAAAGCAACTGGTCTGTCTTCTTCAAAAATGTCGATGTCATGAAAAACAAAACTAAGGAACTCTTCTAGATGAAAAAATTCTAATGAGAGGGACCACTAAATGTAATACATGATCCTGAGGTTGAATCCTAGGTTGGAAAAAAAAGCTACAAGGAACTATAGTCACATTTCTGTATTTATTAGTATAAATAGAGAACTGTGACTATGAATTAGAAATTAGAAAGTACTATTACATCAGTGTTTGCTTTCTTTTCTTTTTCTTTCTTTCTCTTTTTTTTTTTTTTAAGGTGGGGTCTCAATCTTGTTGCCTAGGCTGGAGTGCTATGGCACGATCTTGGCTCACTACAACCTCCACCTCCTGAGTTCAAGCGATTCTCCTGCCTCAGCCTCCCAAGTAGCTGGGATTATAGGCATGCGCCACCACACCCAGCTAATTTTTGTATTTTTAGTAGAGATGGGGTTTTACCATGTTGGTCAGGCTGGTCTGTAACTCCTGACCTCAGGTGATCCACCCGCCTCGGCCTCCTGAAGTGCTGGGATTACAGGCGTGAATCACCATGCTTGGCTCAAACTGCCTCTCTAGATCCCTTTCTTTCTGCCCTATTCCCAGGTTCAGTCACATGCATAATTTATGCCAAGGGGCTTCTGAAACCAGTTTCCTCCTGGCAGAGTGGCAGAGGAGGGACAAGTTTTAGTACAGTGGAAGATGAACAGTATGGAAGGTGAAATTCGCTGGTGTCGTTTGTCTTGTGGCTCTGGCTGCACACCTGGTGTTGTAGCTCACAAGTAGAAAGGTGCTTTTTTCTCTGTTTGCAGAGTGATCATTGCCCATATTTAGATTTTTAAAAAAGGAATCACTAAAGTCTTTAGGATAATTAACTCCCACTTAAGAGAGAGACCAAATAAGCCTCTGCCTCAGTAATCAAAGGACATTCTCAGAACCTAAATGTTTTGAGAACATCCTGACTTACGTTCATTATTTGGTTAATTCTTTTATTCTTTTTTATTTTTTTGGGTATTAGTTAGAAAAGTCACTATGTTGGGTTTATTTTGAAAGGGAATGTAGTATGATGAGTTAGAATGTGGGTTCTGACATTAGAAGCCCTGAACTCCAATCCTAGTGAGATTCCAATCCTAGTGAGCTCCACTCCACTTATAGTTATGTGACATCAAACAATTACGTGTCTCTGAGGGTTGCCATTTTCTGATCTGTAAAAGGAGGAGAGGGTTGTTGTGAGGAGTACCTGAGAGAATACATATAAAAACTAAGAGTGCCTGGCACAGAGGAGGAACTCCATATACACTAATGTGCATCCGCTTATTTCTGATACCAGTAGTCAGAGATCATTGACATCTGTGATATTGTCATCTCGCACATGCCTTTTGGAAAGGAGACTCAGTCTTCTGAAAATAGAGAGCTTTCTGAATATGGCCTGTTACTTCCAACCTATCTAACACATAAACACAAACACTTAGATGTACCCATGTGTATAATTTCAAATGTCCACATGTCGTGGAAATTGGAGTGAATACTTTTATCAATATTATGGACTTTTTTTTTTTTTTTTAGACAGGGTCTTGCTCTGTTGCCCAGGCTGGAATACAGTGGCAGAATCTTGGCTCCCTGCAACCTCTGCCTCCCAGGTTCAAGTGATGCTTGTGCCTCAGCCACCCGAGTAGCAGGGATTACAGGCATGTTGTCACCACGCCTGGCTAATTTTTTGTATTTTTAGTAGTGAATGGGTTTCGCCATGTTGGCCAAGCTGAGCACTCCTGACCTCAAGTGAATCCCACCTGCCTCAGCCTCCCAAAGTGCTGGGATTGCTAGCATAAGCCACCGCATCCTGCCAATACTATAGACTTTTTAATGAATAGATACATGTTTATAAACAGATTAGAAATTACATTTCATTGTTTAAAAATACAGGACAAATTATAAGGCATGCAGCAAATTTTTGGTAAGTTTGATGCTGTTTTTTTTTTTTTGAGACAGAGTCTTGCACTGTCACCAGGCTGGAGTGCAATGGCGTGATTTCGGCTCACTGCAACCTCCGCCTCCCAGGATCAAGCGATTCTCCTGCCTCAGCCTCCTGAGTAGCTGGGATTACAAGCACCTGCCACTGTGCCTGGCTAATTTTTTGTATTTTTAGTCGAGACGAGGTTTCACCGTGTTGGCCAGGCTGGTCTTGAACTCCTGACCTCGTGATCTGCCCACCTCAGCCTCCCAAAGTGTTGGGATTATAGGCGTGAGCCACCTTGCCTGGCACTTGATGCTGTTTTACATCTGCAATCAGAAAATATAAGTAGTAAGTTAGGGATATTAGTAGTGAGTAACTTAGTAGTGAATGAATTAGGGAGTAAGTAGTTGGTGAGTTGGACACTTCACTTTGGTGAAGGCAGCTGCTGTCTGAACAAAGGCCATCTTTCAGTGGGTGCCGGTGAACTAACCTCCCTTCCAGCCTCCTTTTCCTTGGCTGTGGACCCTTGTGTGTCTTGCCTTGCTTCCCTTCCGAGTGAGGTTCCCGAGGGATGCTGGAGGGAGGGAGGAGCTACCTGGAGGCGAAAGTGAGTCCCTGCCTGTATCCACCGGGAGATGCACCGTTAGCTCCCTTGGCTTTTCTAAGGATGCATGCTTCAGGGGCAGTTTCCACACAGGCCTGGCCTCTTCGCTTATTTCTGGCTCTGACTCAGGGTGTAGAGCACCTAGGAGACAGAGAAGAAACCAAGTTATAGCAGGGGTCTGTTGTTTTTGCCTAATGTCTCTTCTTTTGGGGACCTATCCCTCCCCTGCTCACACCATGTGGTTTGGGTGGAGCAGTGTCCACTTGCTGATTCCAGAGAGGGGCATGGAACTGAAGCCTGGCATGAGTACCTCATTGCCTTAGCCACAGAGATTGCTTCCGAGGTGGGCACATGACCCAAGCCCAGTCAATCGGGTGATTTCTGCACTTTGCAAGAGCTTTTAAGAGGCATATCCTTTCTATAAAGGTTAACAGGAAGGAAATTAGCATGGAATTGCAAGAAGACATCTTTATCACCTGATTGTAAGAGCCTGCTTGAGAGGAAAAACTAACAGAGTTGAGAGACAAGTATTGCACACATATTTTCCGAGGCCTGAATTCAGCTGGTCCTGCAGTTACCTGATTCTTGCATGAACAAATTCCTTCCTTCCTTCCTTCCCTCCCTCCCTCCCTCCCTCCCTCCCTCCTTCCCTCCTTCCCTCCTTCCTTCCTTCCTTCCTTCCTTCCTTCCTTCCTTCCTGTTTTCCTCCCTTCCTCCCTTCCTTCCCCCTCTCCTCCTCTCCTCCTTCCCTTCCTTCCTTCCCTTCCTTCCCTGTCTCCCTTCCCATCCCTTTCCTCCCTCCCCTCTCTCCCTCTCTCTTTCCCCTCCCTCCCCCCTCCTTCCTCCCTCCCTTCCTGTCTTCCTCCCTTCCATCTTTCCTTCCTTTTTTCCCTTTCCTTTCCTTTGTTTTTGCTTAACACAATTTTAGTTAGGCTTCTGATGCTTTTTAAATGAGAGTCCTCATGACACGTAAATGAGGGAAGAACTCCATGGATTCACTTTTCCCCCCCGCCGCTCTGTTGCCCAGGCTGAAGTGCAGTGGCACAATCTTGGCTTACTGCAGCCTCCACCTCCCAGGTTCAAGCAGTTCTCTGCCTCAGCCTCCCGAGTAGCTGGGATTACAGGCGCCTGCCACCACGCCTGGCTAAATTTTTCGCATTTTTAGGAGAGATGGGGTTTCACCATCTTGGCCAGGCTGATCTTGAACTCCTGACCCCATGATCCACCTGCCTCAGCCTTCCAAAGTGCTGGGATTACAGGCGTGAGCCACCGCGCCCAGCTGGATTCACTTTCTTTGTACCCAATTCCTATGTTTCATTGTCAGTGTGTTGGCAAGCTCAGTGCATCTGGCTTTAAGAATCTGGTTCATGATGGCCTGGTGTTTTTCCTTACCTTCCTATCAGGGTCATCATGGAAAATAATGAGATCTAACCCAATCTTATGAATAGTCTTATCTCTCTTTGTATTATCTTTTTATTCTGATGCTTTGACATCTGGGACCTGACTGTCCCTCCCAGGGCTGGCCGATTCCTAGAGACAGTAAATGACATACCTGGGAACATATTTGTCATATGCACTCCAACCAACCCAGAGTTCCTAACCCCCAGCGGCCTCTTTTATCGAACTCTTACATTCCCAGGCTACTATACACCTGCTGTAATGATCAGAGGACCAGTACCAGACAGCAAGGGACAGCCCCTATGCAATAGAGCTGGCTGAATGATGCAAACTAGACAATTCTAAATCTGCTTAGCTTGCTTGCTCTGCCTTGTCCATATTCCTTCTACAAAAACCACAGTACAATGTCTTGCCTGTGCTCCCTGCCTTCTGCCTCCTGGAGGCTGTTGCACCCCCATGTGGCCCTGCATGGTGTGGCATGCCTCCTCCTCTTGGGAGCTGTGCGTAACAAACTAACTTTTCAGTGCCAACTGTCTCCTTATCTCTTGGCCTCACCACACCTGAATAATAAGACCTACATTTAAAAACAGTGTGTTGTTGATTTTTTTTTAAGGAGTGGAGTAATTTTTTTTGGTATAGTAAAATCTACATATAGTGAATTGTACAGATCTTAAGTGTACAGTTCAGTGAGTTTTGACAAATGTATAATCTGCAAAACCAACTCAGAGTGAGAACATTTTTATCACCCCAGAAAGTTCCTTCATGCCCCCTTCCATTGGTCTTTTAAGTTCGACCGTTAGGTGTTCTTTTTTCTAGTGAGAAGTCCAAACAGCTTTAGAACAAAATGGCTGTCTGGTGTGATTCTTAGGAATCAAACTCTCTAAGAAGCCAGTGACAGTCTCTAGAAAACTCAGACTAGAACCCCTGTCAAAACTAGGATACCTTTTCCCTCAGAGATTCCAGAGAAGTCCCCAGAGCAAGAATGTGTCTTAAACAAGAGTACTGTGGAATGACAGGAAGGTCAGAGTTTCTCCTTGCGACACAGGGTGAGAAGTCACTCAGAAGCCTCCCCTAAAAAGCCCACATCCCCAATTGGAATTGATCTCCCTTGCTCATATTCTCTTAGAACTTCACTTAGAAGCACATAATCTCTGCCCTAGCAAAGATTGTAGAGGTCATCCCTTACATAATAACTTAATTCAAAATCAGAAAAATGACTTTTTAGATGAACTTTTATCTTTCTTTTATAAAATGAAGATGCAAAGATTTTCAAGTGTCCTTTTTACCTTGGCTGCCAGGAAACTCAGCTAAATCCAGTGCTTACTTCAAACCATGAATTCATCTCAGATATCTGATAACATCTATTTCTCTACTCCTTTTGACCACTTTTTTTCGATGTCAATTTTAGTTGTCTTGTTTTATATATTTAGTTTTTTGTAAGCTGCCTGAAAAATTCTTGCCCTTTTATAACACCTATGGTGTGTTGGACTTATTTATGTATATACCTGTCTTCCTTTCTCTTCCACAGCTTAATAAAATATATTGCTTAATGAAGGGTATAATAAATATTTAAAAAATCCAATTGAATATGATCAGAAGAGATCTTCTAGATTTTATCCTTTTTCCTTCTTTAAAAATTATTCTCTGAAGGGGATGACCATAGGGAAGGTCAGCCATGATGTAGGAGCATGTAGAATTGGCAGGACCCCCCCATCCCAGGCTCTCAGGAGCATCCATTCACGCGGGACCTACCTCTTCTGTGGGCTTTTTCTTTTAGAGGGTGTCGGGTGTGGTAATGAATCTCCACTGGGAAGATGAAGAGCTCTGTTGGGGGCTCATTGGTTTTAAATTGGCTCTTCAGGGGCTCCAAGACTCTGGGTGATTCTTCTGAGATAGGAGGTAATTTCAAAGCCTTTGGTGCCTGGAGAAAATTTAAAAACAAAACGAACATGGCAGGTATCCAAACCCTGCTGCCTGCAGGGGCAAATGATACTGTCTCTTATTGTATCTTTTGCACCAGGAGCTGCTGAGAGAGGTAAGCTAATCCAACTGGGAGCCGGTATCTGACTTCAGTGGTGCCACTCGGTCTCCTGGGATCCAGCATATGCTCCTGTTAGTCCTGACTGGGATTCATCTGAGAATTATAAACATGCTCAGTTTAAGGGCCTTTGGGAGGATATATAGTCTTTCTTTTTCTTGCAGCTGGGGAAACTGAGCCAGACTAAAATGACATAGCTGAGACCTCTTTGTACTGATTGGGAGAAATCTCAGCATATGTTGTTAAGGGACAAAGCAAGGTGCAGAACATTGTTTGAGCAAGGTTTCCCCTAAGAAGGGGCAGGAAAGAGCATTTGTAATTGCTGACCTTATCTAAGCTCTCTAAGCCACAATTTCTTCCCCTGTAAAATAGGAGTAATCATACTATCTACCTCATAAGGTTGTTGTAAGGATTAATGAGCTAATATATGCAATTATAATATGTTCGAAACTAGGATTATTTCCTTATTTCTTTGAGAGTAGACTCTCCTCTCATTAGCATTTAGCCACTAGCAGAAAAATTGAGGCTTTTTCATACTTATCGAATATGAATATAACTGACAAAGAATTGCTGTGTGTCAGAATCAGCAATTAATTTGGTCCAGTTTTTTTTCTGCCCCCCAAAAGTGTGTGTGTGTCTGTGTGTGTATGAGGGATTCACTGGGGTACTAGTAAGAGCCTCCTGTTTCCAATTATTCGGAGGTTGCTGAAGATTTCTCCTTTTAGTTTGCAACTTTTAACATATGAAGTTGGCTCTACGAAATGTATACATGTGCTAGTTTCAGGAGTTCAGTTTCATAGGAGGAAAAATAAAAGCATCAGGCCTGCTGTTTGCTCCTGGTCCAAACAAATCTGGGAAGTCAGATACCCTTCTGGTATCTCCTTTTTAGTACTCAAAAAGAAAAAATAAGATCAGAAGCATACATAAGCAACCTATGTATTTAAAGTTGATTGAGGAAGGAAATTCAGCCAAATCTATGCAGGCTAATATTTATAATTTTGAGACATTAAGAAAATGATTAACCAAACACACGCACATAGGATCTTTATGTTCCTGGAGACCTTCACTGTCCAGGTGCCGGCTGCCCACCAACTGCCCTCTTTTGAATACTGACCTTGTGCATTTTGTTTGACAAGGTTTGCATTGAGAAATCAATGTGGAAACTCAAATGATTTGTGTGAGGTATGGCTGACAAGCCAAGACTTAATTTCTTTATCCTAATTAAAAATTTACAGAGTTTTAATATGGTGGAAAATATTGCCTTCCTCTATGAAACCATATGCATGGGTTGAGGGAAGGAACTCCTTTCCTCTTTGCCTGGCTCAGTTTTGGGCTGACCCAGGAGTGAAGTTGAGGGCTTTCCTTGAGCTTGTGGTGAGCTTGGTAGGTCAGGCCTGCTGTTCCCTTCTGCACCAAAGGAACCTGGGAAGACGAGGCCTTTCTGGTGTGGATGGAAAGGTTTAGATGAATGCAGAGACAGAAAATCTGAGAAAATCTTGAACAGACTGCAAACAACCTCCCTCACTGGTACCAGCACCACCTGGAGTGCCCATGGCTGCTTCAGGGCCACTTCAGATGACATGAATCCCTACCATTAATCAACATTGCTGTAGGTCACAGTCAGATACAACATGCTCTTCTAAAAGCACCTCATCTCTTCTCATCCTTCTACTATCCCTGAAAGGTTGACATCATTATCTGTATACACAGATAAAGTCACTGTGCTCAGAGCATGTGAGTGACCTGCTCACGTTCCCATAGCTACTATGGGCAGAACATTCTGGATCCCTTGCTTGTCCCCATTTATCATTGTGCCTCCAAACACTGAATAAAGACCCACATAGAACTGCAAGGCAGGACCGGGCCAGAGACAGACAAGGACATCTCTAAAAAAGAAGGTGTAATTGGCCCCTGAAGGAGGTTGATAAACTTGGAAAATTTCCCCTGCATTTTCAAAGGTGGTAGACCTTCAGTAGAGCCAAACTGCTGCTCGTTTCAAGATCTCCAGCATTTTGAATCTGAAGGGGGTTTACTGCTTATAAACTCAGATTCTGTTCTTTGATACGTTTACAGATAATCCCCAGCCCCTTAAGAAATCAAAGGATTCTGTTGCTGCTAGGGAGTGTCGTAATAACACATGCTTTAAGGTAGAATTGGTGGCAGCTGAAATTCCTTGCGCTTCACGATTTTCAACCTTTATTAAATTACTACAGCTCTATCCCAGCTCCACCTGGTGAGCTCAGATGCTAGAGAGGCCAATTCTTTCTTGAGACATTCTTTTGAGTCACCTTATTTCTAGGTTGGGATTAACCTCTCTCACTCCCTGTCCCTGTCTCTCTCTCGTGTATGCACAAACATATATATACGTACAACCTTTTTCTTCTTCGCTTCTCCAGGGGTGTTTATTCCGGAGCCAGTGGCAGTTACTACAGGAGGGAAGAAGCATCTTTCAGCAGGAAGCTCCTGTAACAAGTGGCCGATTCTGACCTTGTGGAGTTTCACGTTCCTTTGTTTATCTTTAAACACAAGATGAGAATGAGAATGTATTAATTGCAGGTATGGGGATGAATGTTGAGTTTTGACTTTTATCACGTTGTGGTTAATGGGGAGAAAGGCAGGGAGAGTGCTGGGGCACTGGGACAGCCCTAGCTTTGAGGGAGGCAGGTTCAGGGAGCCTCAGTCTCCTGATCTGGGTTGAATACTTGTTGGATGAGTCAGGTGGTGAAGAGAATGATGACAATAATAATTAATATGTATTGAGCTCTAAATATGGGGAAAGAATTAGGTAGAATATTTCATATACATTAACTCAATTTCCACAATAGCTTTATGGGGTTATTATTATCCCCATTCTACAGATGAGAAAACTGAGCAACATTGGTTAATATGCCCACAATCACAACTGTAAGTGGGGGTAACTTGAGTCCAGACAGTGTGATTTCTGAATGACGCAGCTAAGCACTAGGCAAAGAGGTGCCTGCCAGAGTCTCATTCCCATGTCCAGCTAGATTCTGGCTTTTCTCTTTTTTTATTTTGAGAGAGAGTTTCACTCTTGTTGCCCAGGCTGGAGTGCAATGACGCAATCTCAGCGCACTGCAACCTCTGCCTTCTGGGTTCAAGTGATTCTCCTGCCTAAGCCTCCTGAGTATCTTGGACTACAGGCATGAGCCACCTCACCTGGATAATTTTGTATTTTTAGTAAATACAGGGTTTCTCCATGTTAGGCTGGTCTCAGACTCCCAGCCTAAGGTGATCTGCCCACTGTGGCCTCCCAAAGTGCTGGGATTATAGGAATGAGCCACTGCGCCTGTCCTGGCTTTTATTTTCTAAGGTGAGTGGCACAAGGAAGTGATGTTCGGGGTGCCTCAGTGTCCTCAAATGAACTCTGCATGACTGGATTCTCCCAGATCAATGAGCAAGATATTTGGGCTCTTACCACTGAAATCTGGCTTCCTATTGGGGAAGGTGCCTCCACAGAAGGTAATGTGTGATTTGTCACTCGGGAGCCAAGGGTGATCCATGTGGCCATGCCCAAAGGCCTTCCTGAAGGTTTGCTGTGTCTTTTCATTGTAGCTTTCCTTTGAAGCATGTAAACGAAGGTGATGCTCTATTGACGTGTCCTAGGGAACGACAGATACACATTCCTGTAAACAGGCTGTCATAAAGGGGCAGAGCAGGTTTCTTTAACAGTTAAGTCCTTATAGCTAAGCTTGTGGTTTCAAGGATGAAATTTATTTTGCAGATTGGGAAGAAAAATAAGGTTATAACAGCAAGCTCCCTGATGCTGTTTATTACAATAAAACATTTTATTATTAATGATAGAATGATACTTAGCCATGTCTGACAGATAGTGCTATCTTGTGAAAAAAATTAAAAGATTTTGATTAAAAAATCAAAATAAAGTGCTAGTATTGGTGTCTTCATCCATCATGAAATGTTTCTCAGGCTGAAGGCAGTGGCTCACACTTGTAATCCTAGCACTTTGGGAGGCCGAGGCAGGAGGACTGCTTGAGCTCAGGAATTTGAGACCAGCCTATGCAACATAGTGAGACCCCATCTCTACAAATTTTTTTTTTAAAAATTAGCCAGTCATGGCGGCACAAACCTGTAGTCCCAGCTACTCAGGGAGCTGAGGCAGGAGAATTGCTTGAGCCCAGGAGGTCAAGGCTGCAGTGAACTGTGCTAGTGCCTCTGCACTCCAGCCTGGGCAACAGAGCAAGATCCTGCCACCCTCCCCCTCCAAAGGAAGAAGTGTTTCTTCCCTCTGCCTTTCCATTCTGTGGCTCTTGTTCTCCTTGGCATATAATCTTCTCGTAAATCAAATGAGTTTATTCAGGATGGGAGCAGATGTCTATGTTGCTCTGAACAATTGTTACCTTGTACACACAACACACCCCACCTTAGAGTTTAGAAAGTGTTTCTACATTGTAACTCATTTAATCCTCACAATAATCTTGTGAGACATATGATAAGAGCTCCATTTTACAGAAGAGGTTAACTCAGGCTCAAAGTTATGATTCTTGGACAGGCTCATCACAACTAGCAAAAAGCAGGACCCAAACCAAGGCTTTTCTGAGTCGAAGGCAATAGCTGTTTTCCAAACAAGATTAACAGCTGCCAAGATGGGCAAAGAGTCAGGGGAGAATCTGTGGTTACATAAGTTTGGAAAACCTAGAGTTTAACCAAGTTAAGCTGGTGACTATGTTACAGAGCTTCTTGAAGCCCTCTGTATCTAACTACCCATGTGACTTTCCAGGAGGAGAAGGTATGCAGCACTTCTCCAGCATATTTGCCTATGAAACTGTTATTTCTTTATTTAGAGACAGAGTTTTGCTCTGTCATCCAGGCTGGAGAGCAGTGGCATGATCTTGGCTTACTACAACCTCTTCCTCCTAGGTTCAAGCAATTTTCCTGCCTCAGCCTCCTGAATAGCTGAGATTACAGGTGCCTGCCATCATGTCTAGCTAATTTTTGTATTTTTAGTAGAGATGGGTTTCGCCATGTTGGCCAGGCTGGTCTCGAACTCCTGGCCTCAGGTGATCCACATGCTTTGGTTTCCCAAAGTGCTAGGATTACAGGTGTGAGCCCCTGCACCCGGCCAAAACTTTTTAAAATGGAGCACCTTGTAATGCTAGAGTTCCATAAGTGACACTTCAGGGAAATGATGGTCAAAAAGGTCAAAGTAATCTTCCCTTCTCTGGAGCTCTCAAGAAATGGCAAATGGAGAGAGAATCCTCTCTGTAGTCAAGAACAATGATAGAGGAGAGCCCATTAGAAGTGGTACCTCTGGCCAGGCGCGGTGGCTTATGCCTGTAATCCCAGCACTTTGGGAGGCTGAGGTGGGCAGATTGCCTGAGCTCAGGAGTTCGAGACCAGCCTGGGCAACATGGTGAAACTCCATCTCTACTAAAACACAAAAAGTTAGCCAGGCCTGGTGGTGCTTGCCTGTAGTCTCAGCTACATGGGAGGCTGAGGCAGGAGAATCATTTGAACGTGGGAGTTGGAGGTTGTAGTGAGTCGAGATCATGCCATTGTACTCCAGAATGGGTGAAAGAGTGAGACTGTATCTCAAAAAAAGAAAAAAAAGAAAGAAATGAAATAAATGGTACTTCTGCCCGTGTTTCATCTTCTGGCCAGGGCTGCTTCCTGAGTGGTAGCAAGCGAGTCCCCTGACGGCCGTGGTTCTTAGCTAGAGGGTCCTGGTCCAGGTGTCCAGCAGCTTCAGCTTCCCCTTCATCCAGGCCCTGTTGACCTGCAAAGGTGAACAGTGGGTCAGCTTGTCACGCCGAAATGGACATGGTGTTCTTGCTGCCTGCAAACTGCCTCCCTTCTTGCTTCTCTTCTCTGAGTGAAGGTGCTCAAGGCCTTCCCTTGCTCTCCCTCCTCCCTTATTTCTGTATTTCTGATGGTGCCTCCTCGGAAGTGGCAGCCAGGTTTCTGGAAACAGCTGCACTAGCATTCAGGAGGCTCAGGGGCGAGTCTTCATTTCTTGGACACAGTTTCCCCATCTATAAAATGGGGATACAGATTTCTTTCCCTTATTTCCTTGTAGAGTTATCCGGAACTCAAATAAGATAATGAATGTCTCCCTTTGTAAACTGTGAGGGATTAGTGGATGACAGTGGTGTGATTATGGTGGCGTGACGTGCAGTCTGCTCTGTTGTCATGGAGGGCTCAGCCTGAAGCAAGCTCTTGGGATTCCTGGGCTGTGTCCTGGCTCTTTACTTGTGGAAAAGCCTCTGCTGAACGCACTGAGTGGGACTGCTGTTTAGCTCTCTGAACTTATCCTGTCTGCAACCCTCAGGAAGGATCTGAGTCAAAAAATGACTCCAACATAGTTAATGAATCTTTCATCAATGGTTTAAGGGGTCCTGCAGCTGTTTTCATCACTTTATCAAGCTAGATTTATTGCTGAAACAGTCTGGCACAGCTTCCTTGTTTGGAGCCAAGCTTTAGCAATACCTTTATTTCCAGCATGTGGCTCCATGGAACAATGTGGGGTTGTCTTTCAGCCAGGGGCTCTGGAAGGCTTCGGGGGCTTGTGCGTGATGGAGCATGAGACTTCTGGGAGCTGCTCCTCCTCTGCCTCCAGCAGCCAGCCTCAACTTCCTTCTCTGCTCCCCCTCATTATTTCCATCCTTGGTGTCATTGGGCCAAGAGTCAATTGCCCACAGGTGGGGCTACTCCTGCCCTCCTTTTTTTTTTTCTCAGTAAACATCATCATCTGATTCTCCTTCTTTTGCCCATTGGCTCCTGGCGGCTGTGCTGGATGTGAACTGAGGCTGAGTGTTGGTGGAAGAAATACAGGCTCAGGCTCAGGTTCAGGTTTACAGGGTCTGCTCTGGTTTTAGTGGCCCAGACTAAAGTCTGATGGGCTGGGGACTCATTAATATGAGGTGACTTGGGGCTACATTAGGCCTGCTCCTAAGAGGACCTCAACTTCATACAGACTGCAGCACTAAAGACCTTCTGGGATATTCTAGAATGAGTCTTTGTAGAATGATTCCTTGGGGTCAAACCAGACACTAACTAGGTCCATCTTTCCTGGTCAGATTCACCTGGAACCAGATGCATGTCTGAGGTTGGAGGAAGTGAAATTCTAGCCTAGTGGCCACTTACCTACTGAATAGTCTTTTTTTTTTTTTTTTTTTTTGGTGGGGTAGGGGGACATAGTCTCACTCTGTTGCCCAGGCTGGAGTGCAGTGGCATGATCTTGGCTCACTGCAATCTCCACCTCCAGGTCCAAGTGATTCTCCTGCCTCAGCCTCCCAAGTAGCTGGGATTACAGGCATGGACCAGCATACCCAGCTAATTTTTGTATTTTTAATAGAGGTGGGGTTTCACCATGTTGGCTGGGCTGGTCTTGAACTGCTGACCTCAAGTGATCCACCTGCCTCAGCCTCCCAAAGTGTTGGGATTACAGGCATGAGCCACCGTGCCCAGCCTGAACAGTTTTACATATTGGTTATCTAAGTTGGGGTGGGGGCATTGTGAGTAGGGGGATACAGAAACAATGTTTCCTTTGGTGATATCCCAGGTGAGTTTGAATTTGTGCCTCAGTCAGTGCAAGGGGAAACAAGAATTCCTTTCTTAGTAAACATCATCTTCTGATTCATTTATCTGTGCTTAATAGAAACAGGTTTGCAAGCAAAGTATTGGAAACTTCAGTTGTTGAAAGGAGATGGCAAAACTTAGTCTCTCTGTATCTCAAATATGGATTCAGATAATCCAGATAATGTGCATTGGAGTAGCTCTGTCCTTTCCTGTGATTTTTCACAAACAACCCAGGGAGGAAGGAATGCAGACTTCAGTATTTACATTTTACAGATGTGCAAACTGAAGATGCAGGGAGCTTAAGTGACTTGGCCAACATCACAGTGTTAGAGGACATGGGATTTGTAGCTGGGACTTTTGCTGCTGCTTCAGATAAAGTGTCAGGCAAAGAGTGGGAAGCCAGTGGAAGATAAGGTTCAAACAAATGAAAACATCAGTCAGGATTCAAGTTATAGCCACTGAACTATTTTTGCTTCTTTTAAAATAGATTTTTTTGGCTGCTGTGATTATGGGCAGTTGGGCATTACAATTAGTAATTTTGCTTAAAACACAAGCTAAGGAGGCATCATGAAAATTTACTGAGCACTTAGTATGTTCTAGCTTCTATTAATACATTATCTCATTTAATTCCCACATGCAACTCTGTGAGATAAAGATAGGTATGGTCATCTCCATTTTAAAAACGAGGAAACCAAGGCCCAGAGTGGCTATGTGGCTTGGATTCAGTGCAAATGGCCACATGTTTAATCACTGTTCGATATGGTCTCTTTGTTTTCTGCCTGATTGTGACAGCTCCTTGGTATATGGCATCAATTAGGAAAGTCACTTTATCCCTCAGGTGTGCAGTGTTAATCCACCCATAAAATGAAAGCTCTGAGGCTGAGCACAGTGGCTCATGCCTGTAACCACAGCACTTTGGGAGGCCAAGGTGGGAGGATCACTTGAGAACGAAGTTTGAAACCAGCCTGGGCAACATGGCAAGACCCCATCTCTACAAAAATATAAAAATTAGCTGGGTGTGATGGTGTGCTCCTATAGTTCCAGCTCCTTAGGAGGCTGGGTGGGAGGATCGCTTGAGCCCAGGAATTCAAGGCTGCAGTGAGCTGTTATCACATGGCTGCACTTCAGCCTGGGTGACAGAGCAAGAACAAGAGCTTGTCTCTAAAACAAAAACAAAAAAAGAAAAAGAAAAAACAAGACTCAAGTGAGATGTGTGGTCAGTTGAAATGTTTAATGACCCCAGGCTCTGAGAACCTGCCATATTCTTCTCTATTCATTCAATAAACCAGATTCTCTACTTATCCTGACCAGATCATTTCCCCAAGGATGGAACTTGCTCAGATATTGCCATTGTTTCTGAAAAATATATATTTTAGAGACAGGGTCTCACTCTGTCACCCAGGCTGGGGTGCAGTAGTGCCATCATACTGCTCACAGCCTTGAACTCCTGGGCTCAAGTGATCCTCTTGCCTCAGTCTCCCCAGTAGCTGGGACGAAAGGCATGTACCACCACGCCCATCTAAAATTTTAAACATTTTGTAGAGATAGGATCTCACCGTATTGCCCAGGCTGGTCTCAAACTCCTAGCCTCAAGTGATCTTCTCTCCCTGGCCTCCCAGAACATGAGCCTCAGGTATGAGCCACTGAGCCTGGCCAAAAATCTTATGTTGGGCTCTTGCTCTTTTATTTTCCCAAGAACTCTGCTACCAGCCAAGGCCCTCGCCTTTGCCTGTTACTGCTACCCAGTTGTCTTCTCCCATCTCCCTTACCAAAGGCAACTTCTGGCTCTTTTAATGCTTCAAGTTCCATAGAATAATATTGACAGGGTCAATTCCCATAGTACTAAACAGTTTACAGGTAGCTCACAAGAATTTTCTGTGTAGCCATGATGTAGATCTTATTGTGCCCATTAGAGGGATGAGCAAACAGAAGCTCAAAGAGGTTAAGTGACTTGCTTAAGATCTTACACTAGTTAGTGAGAGAACAGCCATTTTGATACACATTTCTGGCTCCAATCCTATGTATATATTTCACATTATATTGCCACAAAAATCACAGGATTAAGGAATATTAAAGCAGAACAGATATAAGAAATCATCTAAAATCTAGAGTCTAGACCTGTACTGCCAAATACAGTAGCCATCAGCTGCATGTGGATATTTAGATGTAAATTAGTTAATGTAAAATAACATAAAAAGCTCAGTTTCACTATTGTACTACTACATTTCAAGTGCTCAATAGCCACATGTTGCTAATGGCCACTTTTTTTAACAGCACTTACGGAACATTCCATCACTGCAAAAAGTACTATATTGGACAGTACTGGTCTGCACTAACCGCTCATTTTACACACTGAGGGCTATGCAAACCAGAGTCCCAAGACCTCGTTTTGGGAAACTCCATTTTAAAGTGTTAACAGTCCAAATATCTGAGAAGTGGCCATAAAATCAACATGTAAATCAACATGTACCTTGTTCAAAAGATTTTCCTTGTTGAATCCAACATGAAGGGAAGACAGGCAGGAGATGGTATTTTGGGGGTACACCTGAAAGATCCTGTTGTGGCCTGAGCTTCTTTGGTACATTAAGTTGACTGTCCTGGAGCAGCACAGAATCCTTGATGTAACCTGAAGAGTAGGTCAGGAGGTATTGATAGAAATAGTGGATACCAACTTCGAGTTCTTGGCAATAACTACAAGGTTCCTTACTTGCACTAGTCATGGCTTTGGACATTGCCCATTAGGGAAGACAATTAGAAGATGAGGGAGATTAAAAAATCAGATAGAACCCATAGAGTCTTCTCTGTTCAGTGTCTTGGGTGCTTCTGGCTCTGTGCTACATGTGTGCTTCCTCCACCCCATCATTTCCAAGATCTGGCTCTCTCTGGTGGAAGGAACATGGCAGCTTCTTTGGGACAAAAAGCTCCTCCTGCCTTAGAAGGAGATCCAATGGTAGTAGATGTATCCTATTTGTTTCTGTAGGCCCCATGATCAGCAGCTTCCTCAGTCTAGTCATTCTCTAAGTATTCACTGAAGGCTTCCCTTTGGGCCCACCCCTTGGCCAGTGAAGTAGATACAGAAGAACCAGACTTTGGCCCTTTAAAAAGGCACTCACAGCTGGGTGTGGTGGCTCACACCTGTAATCCCAGCATTTTGGGAGGCTGAGATGGGTAGATCACCTGAGGCCAGGAGTTCGAGACCAGCCTGGCCAACATGGTGAAACCCTGTCTCTACTAAAAATAGAAAAATTAGCTGAGTGCTGTGGTAGGTGCCTGTAATCCCAGCTACTCAAGAGGCTGAGGCAGGAGAATCACTTGAACCTGGGAGGGGGAGGTTGTAGTGAGCCAAGATTGCAACACTGTGCTCCAGCCTAGGTGACACAGCGAGACTCCATCTCAAAAAAAAAAAAAGAAGGAGGCACTCATAGTCTATCGGAGAGACAGAGCTCTCTTGTGTTCTGTATGGCTCTGAGTGTTAGTGTGATGTAAGGTCAGAAAACAAGGAGCTTGATAATGACTGAGTTGTCAGCAAAGACTTTGTAGAAGATGTGGACTTGAAGGGTGGGGAGGATTAATCATAGGGGTGTAAAGAAGAAGTCCCAGAGAATATATATATCAGTATCACAAAGTGGGAAGCTCTGAGATGTGCAGGAAGAAGGTGGCAGGGGCCATTGGGCTGGTGGGCTCACACTCGATTCTTGCCATTGAGCCTCCAGCTTGAGGGTCTCACCTTCAAGAGGGACTTTGGCAAGGAAGCTCAAGAATGTGTGTGTGTGTGTGTGTGTGTGTGTGTGTGTGTGTGTGTGTGTGTGTGGTGTGTTTTCTTAAACCACATGTTTTAGCCATACTCCATGGAGGACTCAGAGACATTTTTTGAGATTAGGAGGGGTCTTCGTTCTGGGGAATGTTGGACCTAGGCTATGGGAGAGTGGCCTGCTCTGCCCTCTGCCCCACCCAATGAGAAACACTTCTTTGGTTAAGAGACTCTTTCTCACAAGTGTCAAGTAAATGGAACTGCCTATAACTGTGGAACTGCCCTGGGAGTAAAACCAATGACTGGACACGCCCACAACTTTCATTTTGCTTCAAGTCACCACTTACTGGGGGAGAGAATTGTTTTCTCTTCTCAGGGTAAGCCTATAAAGCAGGAAGAAAGTCAGTCTTTCTCTGGTCCTGCCTGTTTGCTGCTGCTGAAGAAATGGCGAACAGCTGACTGGGCACTGGCACATTCTCTGCTTACTCTTCTCATCCCCAACAGGTTTGCCAAATAAAATACAGGATGTCCCAGTAAAATTTGAATTTTAGATAAACAATGAATAATTTTTTAATAGTAGTATGTCCTGAAGATTGCAAGTGTAACTGTTTATGTATGTTAGGGGATGGGGTGGGTACATGCTAAATCTGGCAACTCTAATCCCCAGCCACCTCCCATTTTTGTTTTCAAGCATTTACAGAGTGCATTTAGGGTCTGTTCATCAGAAGGGTGTCCATCGCACACCTAATGGATTGTGCTGGAGAACCGCCATCTTTAACAGGAAGAATCCTAACATTTTACTTCCGGGAGGACATGGGATCACCTCAGATGGGGAACTAAGGAATGTTGAGAAGAATGTGGAACTGGGGGTGCAGGGTGGATGTGGCTTCTGGTCCCAGCTCTGCTTTTGACTAAATGACCTTGGACAAATTACTCTGCGATTCTTTTTCCTTATCTTGTAGAAGATGGAGGTTGAACTGGAGGGTCTCTGAGTGGAGAAGATGGGGAAGAAAGTTCTGGCCTGGATGTGGCATGTGAGGCTGCTGAGGGGGAGGAGTGGGAGTGAAGGCAGGACTTCAGGCTGTCCCTCCCTCTGCAAATGCGCCAGAGGACAAAGGGTGGGAGCTGTGAAAGAGGCTTGTGAGCTACCAAGTGTGGGGACTTTGTTTTAACACAGAATTGGGCTTGAAATCCTGGTGTTTTAGGTCTTGACGGAAAACACACTCTCACACCAGAATGGGAGGTAGCGCAGTTTGGGGTGTGCCCCCCTCCCATTTCCCCACTGACCTGCACACCAGAGCCTGTACATGGCATCTGGGGGCCAAGTCTGCAGGAGGCCTCGGAGGTATCTCTTGGCTGAATGCCCTGGCTGGATCTGCCGTTGGGCCTGGCTCTCCAGCTGGCTTCGGAAGTGGAGGTGTGGTTGCCAGGCTCTGTCCTGCTCCCCCTGTGGGGATACCAGTCAGGAAACCGCACAGCTGCTGGGCCCTGAGCCGCCCAGTGATACAGGCTGGTTAGCACAATCTTCATCAATAACCCAGGAAACTCCCAGAAGGTGCCAGAAGGCACCAAAAACAGATGCCTTGGCTAATAGACATAAACCAAGAGCTCACAGAGCAAAGCTCTGAAAGGCCCCTGCAGGCTTGCAGTTGGAAGCAGAAGGAGAAATGACATATACCAGACCCCATCTTGAGATAGAGCATTAGGAAAGGATAAAAGCTTCAGAAGAAAACACATTACCTAGTTCAGCCTGTGGAAATCATTTTAGTATCTTCAAAAATGGTTCTGTACTATAATGGGAAAGCCAGCTCACAAATCTGCATTGGCATTCAGTGTTTGTAATATGAATAATGGGACAGACAAATCATATCCATGTTCACAGGGAGCCTGGCATTTTGAAAATATCTGGCTCTGATGCATTTCATTTAAGCTGGGGAGAATTTTCTGGGAACCTACCTGCCAAAGTCAGTGCCACTGTGTAAGACATCATGGGGAATAAATATGAATAGTAACATCTTACAATTGACTAGAAATTTACATTATATATAGAATTTTCTTTTCTTTTCTTTTTTTTTTTTTTTTGAGATGGATTCTTGCTCTGTCACCAGGCTGGAGTGCAGTGGCGCGACCTCAGCTCACTGCAACCTCCGCCTCCTGGGTTCAAGATATTCTCCTGTCTCAGCCTCCTGAGTAGCTGGGATTACAGGCATGCACCACCATGCCTGACTAATTTTTGTATTTTTAGTAGAGACAGGGTTTCACCATGTTGGTCAGTCTGGTCTTGAACTCCTGACCCCGTGATCCACCCACCTTGGCCTGGGATTACAGGCGTGAGCCACTGTGCTTGGCCAGAACTTTCACCTCAACTGCAATCCTGTAAGGTAGACTGAGTTACTAAAGCCACTTAAGTGATGTAGAAACTCTCAGAGGATGATTGCTTAGGCACAAGAATAGCAAAAGTGTGACATTTGTATTGACATCTCTCACCCTCCCCAGTGCCTATGGCAGACATCCGTAATCAATCACAGCATTCTTGATTGCTGAACTGAAGGTGATCTCAGAATCCACTTTTTCCTTAAAAACATTTTTGAAACTGAGGCATAATTTATATAACATGCACAGAGCTTAGATATTCGTTTGATAAATATTGACAAATTTATTTACAAGGTATATACCCTTGTAACCATCACAGAAAACAAAATACAGAATACTTTCATCCACCTAGGAAGTCCCTCATGCCACTTTCTAGTCAGTGTCCTCCTACCCACTAGGTAATTAATATTCTGATTTCTAACACTGTGGACTGTTTTTTTTCTGTTCTTGAACTTCATATAAATGGAAACATACAGCATATATTCTTGCATGCTCCATGAAAGTGATCCACACTGTGTTCCAGTGAGAGCTGGCATGAGAGATGAAGTCCACTTAGTACCCTTTGGCTAAGCAGCTCTCTCAAGGCAACAATATAGCCTGGAAGGATAGAGGGCAACTATATGGATCCAGTTAGCAGTGGAATTGGGCTTGAATCTAGGGCTTCCAAATCCACATCAGGGCAAAGACTCTTCTTTAAGAACTGACCATCTCATCAAAGGACCAGGATTTAGCACCACGAACCGGCTTGATGTCAGAATAAGAAATAAAAATGTTTCAAAGCAGGTGCCTCAGTGAGTATCCCAGACTGTAAGAACTGTAGTCTAGAGAGGTTAACATTTTCATAAGTGTTAGGATGCAGTAAAATCTGACTCAACAGGCTTGAACAATGAGAGAGAAAGTTTGTTATCTCATGTAACAAAAAGACCAAACGCTAGAGAGTACCAGGGTTGGTTAATTCAGTGGCTAAATAGCTCTGGCATCCTGAATCTCATGCTGTAGGCACCAAATCTCTTTCTACTCTTCAGAACAGTTTTTCCCTTCAGTCTTACAGGCCTGCAGAGGCTGAACAATGGACACAGGGAAACATCAAGTGGGTCCAAAAAGCACAAGCGGAAGAGTGGGAAGGAGACAGCCTGTGAGAAGGCCTGGGAAACAGCCCTGGATTTTAGGGCCAGAGTGCCTGGACTCCAGGCTGGCTCTGGCTCATGGGAACTCTGTGATCTTGGGTGAGCTCTGGAACCTTCTGAAGCTCTCACTAAAGTGGAGCTAATAGAGGTAGAGGGGTTGGAGAGTGCATGGGTTCTGGAATCAACCTGAGAGTCTGGCTTCACAGTGCCTGACACATACTAGGGGTTCAATATTGTGGGGAAATGAATAAATGAACACACAGTTCCATTCCCAGCCCCACTACTTCTCAATCGTCTGCATTATAGAATTTCACCCATAATACTGACATAGTATCTCTTTTTTGGTATAAATGAAATAATGTAAGTGAACGGTGTCCCACTGAGCCAGGTTATGGTAAGGTGAGAGGTGCATCCTCTCCCTGCCTGTCCTGCACTCGCAAAAGCACTTTCTCATCTCTCAGCACTCCTAATGGGAGCTGAGGAGAACACAAAGTGGAGGCTTTGCCTTAAGATGGGATCTATCTTGAGAGTTTGGTTAATCACTTCTCTCAGTAATTTTACTCAGTGTCCTCAGTGTAAGGATTATATGAGCTGAGGTATGTAAAATATGTAATGCTTAGCATGTAGTAGGTGGTGAACCAATATTAGGTCTTTTCTCCTTTCCCTTGTCCAAGGGGTGGGAGACTGTGCTAACTGCCTCACCCTTTCCCCCCCTCACTTCTTTTGCTTTTTCCCAGTTTTTTGTCAGCAGATCCCCTTTCCCAAATAGTCATCCCTAATTGTCTGTGGGGAATTGGTTCCAGGACCTCTGTGGATATCAAAATCTGCATATGCTCAAGTCCCTTATATATTCTAAAATGGCGGTAGTAATATTTGTACAGTATAGCCTGTCCACATCCTCACTATACGTTACATTGTTTCTAGCAACTTATGATACTGAATATAATGTAAATGCAGTGTAAATGGTTGTTATACTGTTTTCTAGGTTTTTTTTTGTTGTTGTTGTTTGCATTGTTATTTTTTTTCCTGAATATTCTCGATCCCTGGTTGGTTGAGGCCAGGGAAGTGCAGACATGGAGGGCCTTGCTTTCCTAGACTCTGTCGTGTCTCAGAGTGGCCAACGGACCTAGCTCTGGCCAGTGAAACTAAGAGGAAGCTAATTGGAGCCTCTGGAAGGTCTTTGATTCCTTAGAGAAGGAACAGCTGTGCAAGGATGGCTTGGTGGCCCCTTTCTTCTGCTTTGAACCCAGATGTGACCTCTGGAAGTAAAGAACCATCTTGTGAATGTGCGCTAACAAGCCTAATAAGAAAAACCAACACTCAAAGGATATTGGAAGGAAAAGATAGCACTTGAGTCCTTCATGGCATCGGCAAGAAGTTGAGCAAGCATAAAACTCCTACCCCTCCATTTTGTGTTACTTGAGATAATCACATCTCTTTATTGCGTAAATCAGGGGTTGGCTTTTTTTTTTTGAGACCATCTCGCTCTGTCACCCACACTGGAGTACAGTGACGCTAACTCAGTTCACTGCAACCTCTGCCTCCCAGGTTCAAGCGATTCTCCTGCCTCAGCCTCCAGAGAAGCTGAGATTACAGGGTGTGCGTGACCACACCTGGTTAATTTTTGTATTTTTTGTAGAGACAGGATTTCACCATTTCACTAGGCTGGTCTCGAACTCCTAACTTTAAGTTATCTGCCCATATTGGCTTCCCAAAGTGCTGGAATTACAGGCATGAGCCACCATGCCTAGCTTGGCAAATTATTTTTCTAAAGGGCCAGACGGAAAATATTTTAGGCTTTGCAGGCCATATGGTCTCTTGCTACCACTCAACCTGTCCTTGTAGTGCAAAAGCATCCACAGACAATATATAAACAAATGGTTATGGCTGTACACAAACAAGCAACGGGCAGGATTTGGCCAGTGAGCTGTTTGCTGATTCCCCAACTTCAACCATTGATAATCATGAAATCTGTTGCTTGCAGCCAAAAGTATTTCTGATATGTGGATACAACAGATTTAAAGCTGCTACAAATTCAAGGGATGGGAAACAAGCACTGGAGAAAAGGGGATGATGAAGATGGATTGATAACTAACAAAATCACATCAAGTGAGTCCAAAAAGCACATGCGGCAGAGTGTGAAGGAGACAGCTTGTGAGAAAGCCTGGGAAAGCACCCTAGATTTAGGGCCAGAGTGCTCTAAATCAAGGTTCAAGATAAAAGAAAGTGTGGTTGACTATTCAGTTGGCTTTACTCCTTGGGGACTTATGAATTAAATGAATGCTTATAATTCAAACATAGAGCATCACCTGCTTCTTGATGTCTGGAAAGTTTATGTGGCAGGTACTTCAAGTGCAAAAAGAGCCTAGAAATTCAGTCTCGTGTGGTCTTGAGGCTTTTTCCAGAGGACATGAAAGAAAGAATTGTAGAGACGATGGTGGAAGCCAAATGACACTTTCACACACTCCATTTTTTCACTCAGCCATACGATAAATATTGTTGGGTACTTTTTAATATGCTAGGCACTGTGTTGGGCCCTGAAATATGGAGCCATTACACCAGAGGCCTTTTCTGGGTGAATTGGAACCTCATTTCTTTTCTGTGAATCTTTGCTTTGACTGACTTTCCTCTGAATGCAGTAAGGACCACCAGCCTCTTCCGAGATACTGTGGCCCCTGTGCAGATGGGATGATGTGCTGTTCGAGTCTGGACAGGAACCCTTGTAGTTTCTCATCAGTGGACATTTCTTTCCTCCCTTCCTTCCTTCCTTCCTTCCTTCCTTCCTTCCTTCCTTCCTTCGTTCCTTCCTTCCTTCCTTCCTTCCTTCCTTCCTTCCTTCCTTCCTTCCTTCCTTCCTTCTTCCCTCCCTCCCTCTTTCTTTCTTTTTCTTTTCTATCTCTCTCTGTCTTTTTTTTTTTCCTTTTCTCTTTTTTAATAGAGTTTCACT